CCCCCCCCCCTTCCTTCTCAAATATCGGCATGCTGTCGCAACTGTGAAAGCTAGGTTGCCAAGCAATCTTCTAACTGTAATGATAAACATTGCCGCAAATGACTACCAACGTTGCCATATTGACATAATACATTTGGGTGTTTTACCTTCTACACCTCTTTTTCTCTGTTTCTGAGCTTGCCAAATGACAGGAGTATCCATTTACGCTCCTGTTTTCATTATTTTTCTACTCATAATTTCAGGCCCGGTCATTCGTTACGTGACAAGAACTCTCAACGAAGTTGAATTCAGAGACAAATGAATTCCATCACGCAGGTCACTAGATTTGGCAACAAAGTTTCTGACCGAATTCCATTGTGATTGAAATTTCACCGCTAGGTGGCAGCAGAATGCAGAAATTTTTATTGTTATATTTCAGACTTGGCCGTTTTATTTATCGCGAATACTTGTGTGTGTTTTTCGTTTTATTTAAGTTTTTAAGTAGATTTCAGTGTTCCAAATTCATATACTGAGCCTTATATCAACGGTGCTTCAGTATATCAACACGAAAATGACGAAGGTGAGCTATAAAACCATTAAATCTAACGACTTACTTACGCCGTTTTCTGGTTTTGATACTTTGGCCGTGACAGGTAGGCGCCGCAGTGTATTTTCAGACTTTCATAATCTAATTTGCCCTACTATCAGAGCATTTGCCCTTTTAGGGTTTCTCCTTCATTCATTCATAACGTATCTCACCATTTGGTTGAAAGCATTCCCTGGCTTTTATTTGAAGCGCCTTGAGATCAGGTAGTCAACCAAACTAGGTTAGCTTTCACGGTAAACAAAAATTCCTTCAATCAAACTTTTTTGGGATTCTCATCAAAATTTCATTTTCCTCAAATGCGATTTTGCACCCAGTTTTATGCCAATCACATATTCTTGCACCGTTTTTCTCCGAGACTAAATTATGCTCATTGATATTATGAGAGCGCAGCAGATGGTATTAGCGCACATCTTCCTTTATACTTGATATAAGTATCCCAGCGCACCCTTCCTTGGTACCGAAATTCCTTACTTAACTTTATTGTTTCAATTTTAGTGTCTGAAACATTATTGTGCTCCCATTTGAACTGAATTTAACGCATACAAGGTTATTTAAGCATTCAAGCCAGGTTCCAAGCGGATCTTAACAGAATCTCAGATGATCTGTACGATAGTAGTTCGCATACCCACTTTGCACAGGTCTAATTTTTTCCCCATTTCAATACTAAGTCATGAACTAATGGAGAAAAGGTTCCATTTGTTCTTGTCAGGCTGTAATTGTTTGGCCGCTCAATACCCTCATAACCTCACAAGGGGAACTTACGGACCTGCCGCCTCCGATTGGGCTGAATTTTTGTTTACAGACTATGGACCAATTCTAGAATTCAAGTTGAGTCGTTTTTTGGAATGTGCAATGGAAAGGGCTTTAAAAATTCCCAAAAGTTTCGTTTTTGGCGTGTGATTTGGTCGTGCGGCGCGTGGTAACACTGAAGCAGCCTCTTATACTGCTTTATTGCGATCGGTATCAGAACAGTGTCCGGAGCTCTACTGCACAGGATCTGGCTCCATGACCGTGCGGTCCCGGGATCGATCCTCAAGAGGGCAGTGTACTTTTTATTCTCTGCATATCTCGTGATCATTTAATTTTTAATTCTATGCTTTCTTTTTATTTTCTGCGTGATCACGTAATCATCTTATTTTTAATCCTGCACTTACTTTTTATTTTCTGCATGATCACGTAACATTTTATTTTTAATCCTTCATCCGTATTTATAAATCAAGCAGTTCCGACCATTATCCTCCCCCCCCCTCATTTTACGTACATTTCCCCGCCGAAATTTACTCAAATTGACCACCAATAACCGTATTAAACTTCATCGACATAAATTAATGAATTAAAAAGCGAAGGGCCAAAATAATGTGTTTCTTGTGTAAAAAAAGCGTAGAATTAAAAATAAAATGATTACGTGATCATGCAGAAAATAAAACGTAAACTGCCCCCTGGGGGATTGATCCCGGGACCGCATGGTCATGGAGCCAGGTCCTGTGCGGTAGGGCTCTGGACACCAATAGGGTAGCGACCGGGATAAAGTGGTACAAGAGGCTGCTTCAGTGTTGCGACGCGCCACACGACCAAATCACACGCCAAAAATGCAACTTCTGAGAATTTTTACGCCCTTCTCTTTGCGCATTCAGGAAAACGGCTCACATTGATCTCTGGAATTGGTCCGTAGAGTCGGTAAAAATAAATTCAACCCATTCGGAGGCAGGAGGTCCGTAATTTCCCTTGTTAGTTCAATCTTCAATCGTTCGTTAAAATGGGGAAGAAAGGATTTAAGGAGAATAATATCAAAATTTATGGACCTTACTCAACACTTGCAAAAGCTTATCTCTGTTGTATTGGAGACTGTACTTACGCTTTCCTCCCATTTCCTAAAGCCTCCTCATAGGAGTCCTGATCAACTTTATTCTCTTAAAAAGAAAAGGTGAGTAGAAACTTTTGAGACATCAGGATTGAGTTATGTATATTTCTCGTGACATCTGAATACAAAAATATTGTACCAAGATTTCAAAAGTATACTTTTGAAGTTTACCTATTATCGTTTAAACACCTGAGATTATTTATTTAATTTTATTTCACCCAATGATGTCCCAATGGGTTGGAATAAGCATTGTATAGTTTTCAAACAGTGAGATAGAATTTCAGAATCCGACTCCTTTTAATGTGACGTGCTGAAATGTACTTTAAGTTCCACTCTTACTTATTAAGTAATGATGACGTTTTAAAAGTGGTGGCATAATCAGATATCTGCACCTTGTTAACATTGAAGACAGAACTACTCAATTCTCTCAGAAAAAAGAATAATGGTGATCACAAAAGGGATACCACTTTCTCGGAGGCAGGCTATTGGCACAAGATATCAACAGCTGATAAATTATTTTTTTACGAGTCCAATTTTTAGATAACATATCATCCATATACTACTGTCACTAACTATTCTCTCAATGATAATGCTTAATGTAAATAATGGGACTCTTATTCTTTGATTGACCTTCACGCTACGTCTGATTTATCTGTATCCTTCTGATTATTGCTTCTTTGCCTGTGGAGAAACAATAGCAATAGCGTTAGCACACTTGTAAGTTTTAACAGAGGTTTAGTGTTTACTGATCTATTTGGCTTCCCCGCAGTGAAATCTAGGAACAGCTTGGAACAGGAGAAATTTATTTTCTCCAGTTAATTTTAAGTTCAAGACCTAATTATGGCAAATTATTTACAGTTCTGGTTCAGAGTATATTTATTTAGCATCTCCTGTGTGATCATAAACAATTATTTCTTGCAAGTCAGTTCATTCTAAAAGTTAGACTGTTTCAGACTTTTCTTTACATTGTAAGTTGCTTGATATTCTGAATTGATTCTGCAACCTTCACTTCTGTCATTTGTGAATGTTACATCATCGTTTGATATGCACCATGAAATCTGGCTAACAATAAGTCGAAGTATGGTTAAGATGAAATTCCTCCTAAGTCGAAAATTCCTTTGATCCCTAGACATCGCCATAGGAAACTACAGAGAGTTTTTTTTAAAAAATTTTCTGCGAACTTTCTTGAATCATTTCAAGTATACGCACAGAAAATTGTAAGGCAATATTGTAGTTAGTTCTTTATTTTCCTCTTAAGGAAAAAATGTTGGAATTAAGATACATATTTTATTAATTATTAAACCTCATCAATGTTTTCTGGTGCATCCACAATCAATTCCCCTCTCTGTGTAAAAAGTCCGCTAATTTTATACCTGGATTTAATTGAATTACAATGTGCATAAGTCTTGTACATTAATTTTTTTCATGACACTAACATTGTATTTCGTTACAAGGTTTTTGAATCATACAGAAGTTTGTATTATTTTTTTCCAGGACTGTAAATAATGCCATGAAGCTGAGAAGATAGAGCTTTTCTTGTTTAAAAGTGAATCGTCTCTTAGGTCTACTCATTTTGAACCTTACATAAATTCCTCCTGCTAGGAAGTTAATTCTTCGTTTTCCCTCCTGAAATGGCCAGCGGAAAAACCAAAAAGTCCAATTGGGTCAAACCCTCTTTTGATGATGCAATGATAGACAGCGCTCCGCCAAAGAAAAAATCGCGCCCTGAAGAAACTAAAGACACCAGCCAAATTCCACGTCCTGCTGCTTCATCTTCATCCAATATGTGCACTTGGCTCGACACAGCTAAACCAACTGGAATTACCGACTTAGCACCCACAAAAAGCAAAGTTGGAGAACTGGAAAACTGGTTAACAGAAGTAAAGACTGGCCGGTTAAACTTGAAGTATTTATTGGTCACTGGCCCTTCTGGCTGTGGTAAAACATCCACTATTCATACTCTTGCAAAACATTTAGGGTTTAAAATCATAGAATGGATTACGCCAATTGACAAAGTCAGATGGATGGACAATGAAGAGCAAGTTGAAAACCAGACGAAAGTATTTGCTGATTTTTTGACAAGAGGAAGTCGCTATGGGAATGTGCTGAGCAGTCAATCGAATGCAAGACTTATCATAGTTAAAGATTTTCCAAATGTTTTTGTGAATACTCCACATGTGTTTCATGAACTCTTAACGGACTATTACTCAAAAATTTTGTCACCAGTCATTTTTATCTGTGATGGGAAGAAGGCATTCAAACTTTTCCCACCTGAGATTCTTCGCAATCTCAATATTTCTCAAATCACTTTTAGTGCTGTATGCTTTAGGACGGTTAAACAAATTTTACTCAAGATTTTAAAAGCTAATAAAATATCTGCACCTCCAGATGATTCTTTGAAAGAAATTTATGTCTCAAGTGGAATGGATCTCCGCAATTGTATTCTTCAGGCTTTTTACACATTTTCAGTGAAACAGTCTAGACCTAAATTTACGTTCCGGAAAACAGAGTCCGAGCCAACAGAATCCAGTGATGGTAGGATAGAGTTATTTCAAACAACCGGGAGAGTTCTTTATCCCAAATGTGAAACAGTTCTATCACCATACGGCTACAATATACAAAAATTTACTCATAATCCCGACCATTTAGTTAGCTTTTATGAAAATAATCGCTCTGACCTTAAATTTTTGCACCATAATTACCTTAGTACATTTTCCTCCATATCAGATGTTAGTAAAGCGGCTGAAGATTTGACCATATCAGACATGCTTTGGAATTCGTATGCTGATAACAGACTAACCAATCAAAATTTAGCTTTGTCCATTGCAGTCCGAGGACTCATGTGTGCCAACAAAAAGCCTCTGAAAGGTTATCGTCAGTTTGGGGCTGCTAAAATCCAGGATTCTCTCTCATTTAACTCAGATTTTCTGACCCATGCAAAGAATGTATTACCCTCAATTCAAGGAAACAAAGACCTGCTTTTAGATTATGCTCCATTTTTGAAGAGCTCTCTCCGATCCTCTCTTAATGAAAAGCAAAATGAATTTTTCAATACTTATTTTTCAACTTTCAAAAAACCATTTTAAGGCACTTATAATTTTGTGTCAGTGACCATTTCTTCTTATTTTTGTCCAGAAAATACCCGATACATTGTGTGTGCAACTCAATCCGTTTTATCATTCTTTAATCATTTTTCTGTATAAGCTCAGCTTGCCTATTTAATTTATTATTTTCACCTTCTAGTCAGTTTATTAAACCTAAACTTCAACATTTGGTTGTTATAATTGAGGGGCTTGAAAGACAAGTATGATAAGTGCAGTTTTGGAAGAAAAAAAAAGAGACATTACCGATTTCAACCAAAACTAGTCTTAATTCATGATCTGTGAAAAATTCACCACCAAAATCCAATTTGTAAGCATCAAAAAGTGAAACTGAACTTTATCTCCGCCATCAGGCTCCATGTAATTTTTAAACTTTAAACATTCATTTCTTGATATAGTAAGAAGTGTACTTAAGCGCCTTGCCCTCCAAGCCCCTTAATTCCATATCTCTCTTCCAGATATTTCCCAGAAAGGCTGAAAATTAATTTAAGAAAACAAATGAGGTTTGAGAAGAGAATCATTCCACTTTTGTATATACTGTTTTCAATTTTCCATGTATATCCAAAGTTTTCTCCTGTATATAAAATTAATAATTTCCACCAGTTGCAGTTATATCTTTATCATAATGTTCCTTAGAGAGCCGTACTTGAATTTTGTTGTTATATTCTCATATTTTGTTATTTTTCATGTTTGTGGCTCTGCTCACAGGTTTTATAGCTATGTATATATCTGTTTTACTTTATGTCTGAAAAAATATTTTACTTATGTGCAGCCAGGGAGAACAAGGGAATTGAGGGAGAGTGTTATGATCAAATTACAATTATTTTGTTAGTAAAAAGTGCCTCTTTGACCTCATTGACAGTGCAACAAGAAGTTGTTTCCGCGATTTTTCCATTGTTTGTACTTCATTCAAGTTGAAAATCTCAGTAGAAGTGCCAACCACATCCCTTGGCTGCTTTTAAACCTGTTCATGACAATGAATGTATTCGAGTTACTTCGTCATTAGTTTTTAACTTAATTTTTATGGGATTATTTTCAAGAGTTTTACCATGTAGTCTGTTCAGTGAAATCACAACTTAGTCCTGTAAAAAGTATACCTAATAAACGCATTCCACATCGGAATATGAGCTCGATAATTATTTTATTTAAATCATAAATGGATGAAAATTAGGTATTTAAACCATTAATTTATTCCATAGCAACATTGACTGTGTGAAAGAGGGCAAGAAGCATTCTAAAATTGATTTTCTGTCTTCCACCTCAAATAACTGCAATTTCAACTTGACGCTCTATCATGCTGTCTCCTCCCCTAGCCTGTCCAAATCCGAATTCTAAAGTTTACACAACCGTTATTAACTAGTCTGAAAGGCTTCAAAACTAGGCTGAAAGAACTGTTGAAAACAAATTCATCTCATCAGGCATTGGAACAAGATATGTATGGCATTAGATCAATAATCAATCAAAGTTGCCTGCATGTACTGTACTGCTTACATCCTAATTTCCCAACAGATGTGAGATCGTTTTTGTAGCAGCATGGCTGTTCATAAAGTTCATAAACCTATGTTAAAATCTTAGTTAGGATAGGAACCCTTTTTGTTCTTTTTTACGTGAAAGTGCCACTTTTAACTTTCGCAAGTTTTTTCTATCGCTTTCTTTCAGTAAATTCTATAAAAAAAATTGCAATTTTTTGTATATTTTACAGTTAATTTGGTTTTAGCGTCAGTATGAATAATTTTTAGGACTGGACAGATTTTTTCATGCCAATTTCATTCTCACAGCTTTTTTTAATGTAAAGTTTACTCAAAGTTTACTTTAAAAAGAACAGAAAGGGTTTCCTAACTCTTACATTCTAACGACTTTTTTACGTTTTCCGAAAGTCAAGGTGTAATAGTTAATGCTATCATAAATTTCTGTTTGAAAGCAATAATTTCTCTGGTGCCAAGTGAAAAAAAATTATAAATTTAGGACAACTATCTTGATCGAAATATTTCACGATTTCCCCCTTCAATTTATTTATTCATGAAAGTATCATTCTTATTCTAAATTTTCAAGGACTATCTTTAGGAGCCGCCCCCCCCCCCGCAATAAAAAAAAAATATTCGCACAGAATAATGTGCATTAACACAATATTTTGTTTTGTGTCATGCCACTGCCATTTCATGACTTTTAGACCATGATTTTTTATCTAACTTATTCGCAGAATCTTTTCACCATTCTTATTTTTATCTGGGAAACTTTGATCTCTTGAAACATTGATTTTACCTCAAACATTCCTTTTCTGGTGCAAATATTCCCCAAAAAGATACTCAAATTATTGCATTTTTTGACAATTTGATGAGGTGACTGAGTCAGAACTAAAAGTAGCATGTGTCATACCTCATAATTTTTCCTGAAAGTGCAAACATGGTAGGTCACTTTCTCAGGTACGTACCATCAAAATATTTTGATTGCATCGGGGCATTCTGTGTTGGGGCAATAGTGCAGGTATTCTTGCATTCAGTAGATCCTGGAGATAAAAAAGGTGATTGAAGTCTGTAATTGCTAGGAAGCTAGAAACTGGATTGCTGCAATTTCATTTGGCCATCTAAAAACTCAAATTTCATGTTTTCCCACTAAAAAGCACTGATTTTGAATACTCGTTCTGAGAGTTGGTAGCAGCCCATAACAATCGGTCCAAAAGATTTCTCTGGAAAAGTGAGTAAAATATACTTTAATTAAATACTTGGTCCAATGAAATGTGAGAGGAAAATTCTACAAATGCTCTGCCGTTTCCAAACATCTCGTTAAAGGTGCTCAGCAAAGACTAGTCAATATCCCGAGAGTTTATGTCTTATCAAAATTGGAAACTCTTGTTAACAACTTAATTTTCTTTTTATCTTTCCTTAGACCAAGACCCAAACATGTAAACACTGAACAGTTACTCAAAGATTTCTGCAAGAAGTCTCTCCATTTTGTCCTTGCTATCTTTTCCCTATTTTTAATCCTATATGTTTTTATTTTTTTCCAGTATGAGCATTGTCCAGGGTCGCTTCTATCACTTGTTCCTGTGGGGTTAGCTATTCACCTATTTGCTTGATGTGCTGAGTTCTCTTTAATCTCCTCAAGTTAAGAAATAGTTCCGGTAAGTTTTCTTTCCAGATGTCATTCATTATTTAATTTTAGTTCGTTTTCCCCATCTTCATTTTTGACATTTTATCATGTTTTTTTTTTTTTTTTTTTTTTTTTTTTTTTTTTTTTTTTTAAATGCATATGACTGTAGATATTTCTTGAACTTCTCAGTAATTAATGTTTGTATCTCATAGGGTAAGATCAAAGTGAAGTAAAATGTGGTCATCAGAGAAAAAAAAATAAGAAACGAAGGAAGGAGGATTTTAGTATTCAAAACATGGAATTGTAGGCTGAAGATGGCATGAATTTTGAGCAGCTTAACACTTGGTCATTCCTGAGAGAGAGAATAACTTTGCAGCAGACACACCTGTGCACAGGATACTCGTCACTTCTTCCTTGTCTTTTCTCTTTCTATTGTTTTCTCATCACACACCTTGTTTTCAGTGATCAGAGTTTATATATCTGTCCATCTATCTTTCTCTTTTCGTTTAATAATTCTCTTTGGTAAATAAGATGCCACTCTGTTTTTTTAGTAAGCCAGGAGTTATCTAGAACCAATCAAAACCATTTCAGGAGTTGGTTCTTTGGGTCCAAGAACAAAGTTTTTCTGTAAAGAAACCTTTTTCCCAAAATACTTTCTTCGGCAAATTTCAAGAACATAAATTATTTTTTAACATTTTGGGAAAGTTTATGGATCAAGTCAGGTGGAACACGATATTCAGGTGTCGTTTGAAGTGCTATACTTATTTTTACTTGTATCAATCAAAAGGAAAAATTTTTTTTTGGAGGGGGGGGGCATTTCTTTACAGCTTTAATTTTGACACAATGAAGGCTCATAAGTCCTCTCCCTAAAATGTCCTCACATAGTAAATATTCTCCTCCCTGCCAATAATCAAAAGAAAGTCACAAAAGGAAATACAAAAAGACTTAAATAAATTATGGAAACAAAGATGAACATCAATGAATTTTGAATGAATGAAGTCTGGTGGTTTCTCATAAAATTTTCTTGAATTACTCTTTTATATAGTCTGTAAAAATACCCAAGTCTAACTGACCATTCCTAATCAAGGACGTCGAGTCATTCTGCTGTTTTATAATTCTGACCAAAACGGAAAAATATATCAAAAAATCCATTTCCCAGAAAATCGTCAGCTCTCTAAAGAATGGAGAAATCATGCTAATTTTTTATTGCTTCATCTGAAAGTACTGAAAAAGCTGATTTCACATCAGTTTTTATAATTTTTTTCTGCTATGGGAAGTAATATAAAAGTAGATTTAAAAGTGAGAAAATGCACCACCTAGTGACGTCATCTGGCGGCATTTCCCATTTAAACACACGTATTTTAGCAGATTAGAACCAAGAGTATCCTCGTGTTCAATTTACTCTGTTGTTTCCCCTCAAACTCGAAATTCATCAAATTTTAGACTCCTGCAAATTCTCTATTTTGCAATGTACTTATTTCGTTTTATGCATCCTTCTCAGGTGTGGAATGTTTTCAAGAAAGAAGAAGAAACCTCAAATTTCTCCGCCAACCAATTTTGAGCACCGAGTCCACACTGGTTTTGATAAGAACGAGGGCAAGTATGTAGGACTACCATTACAATGGGCAAGCATAGTAGGAAATAATCAGATCCTGAAAAGTACAAATCGACCTTTGCCTCTTGTTGATCCTTCAGAAATTACTCCAACTGAAATTCTCGACCTAAAAGTGAGTGTATGTTCATACCTTTCATAACTTCCTATTTGAAACACTTCTGAAATGAGGAAAATACCTAATTCAAAAAAGTTTCATGCAAAAGTTGTCTATTATTTAGTCCTTGTTGGACAGTGTTTTGTCGCTCTAATGGTGGACGGAGTCTAATTCTGAATATGAGTGAACAATCACACCAACCTGCATAGTTCCAGATACTTGCAGACGTTCAGCGACAAAGTTCCCTCCTCTTTTCTGGAGCTTCTAGATTGTAGATTGTGGATCTAGCAAGTCCTCCAGGAGTCCGTACTATCAGTATCCTGCTGTGCTGTAATTGGCCTCACAAATTCTAACGAAAATCCCTGATTGCTCATGGGCTGTCACACTCAAAACTTCTTGAGGACTAGACAGAAGATGGCCAAAGACTGGATTTATTCTTAATCAAAAAATCAAAGATCATTAAAAATTGAAGAAAGCCCAAATTTCGTTTTTCCTTTTTTTTTTTTATTTATTTGAAATTTTAATTTTGTCTAGAGGTGTATCCCCAACGAAAATACTGAAGATCTCTGTAATTACAGTATATAATCCTTTTATTGATAAAAAAATTTGCCAATGGTTCTTTCCAAATGGCTTTGCTTTTCTTTGTTTTCGTGCCTAACAGCTTATCTAACAAACCACCTACTTTTTTTTCGTTGATCATTCATGTGTGGTGATTTTTCCAGACAATTGTACGAGGCGAAAATCTAAAATTCAGAGATGTAATCGAAACAACAACTGGCGGCCTTCCAAAAACATCACATGTAGCAAGATCTAACTCATTGAGGTCATCTAGTCCACCAAGATTGCGACGAATACACCCTACCAATGTTCCACCTTCATTACCAGAAGGAGAGGTGCTTGTCATGCCTCCTCAACACCATTTACCTCAGTATCCAGCTCCAAATCAGCGGAGAGATCAACATCAATACGTATGTCCATACCATATTATGTCTTTAATTCCTTGTTTGAAAACAGCAATCATTTCTTTACCCAAATGCAACTTTCTGCAGGTAGATAATATTGGACTTCATCTGTGAATAAATTCGCTAGGACATCAGCACCTGTGCTGAGTTTGGGTAAAATGAACCTTGCCTTTAATAAATAAAGAATGACTGCACAATGACGTTGCTTTGTGAACGCTTATTGATAAAAGCCCTGGCTTATGAATCCTTACTAATGGCATTCTATGAAATTGCTTTGTGTGGGAGGTCACTTTAATGCAATTAAATTTGATGTTTCAGAAAATAAAGTTAGTTGAATTAGAAAAGCATAAGCTTCATTAAAGACTAATTCTTTTCCTCCGTTCATATGATTATCTGCAATTTTATTTTTATAATACGAATTTCACACTACCGCCAACAGGCCTTCCTTTATGCCCTCTATCACTTGTGAAAGAAAATGGAACTCCATGCAACTTCTTCTTTGGGCAACTTGCAAATATTTCCCCATAAAAAACAAAATTCCCATTTTTTAACCTAACCTGACAAACATAACTCTCCTAAATAATTCTCTGTGATTTAAGGTCTCTTAGACGATTATATATGAAGAGCTAACAACAATACTGCTTAACTAACAATTTTGGCAGAAAAGAGATCTGACTTTGCTGCATTCTACAGTATAAAATATGCAAGCTGATGGTTTTAGTTTTCTTCCAATTCTGTTGGAGACCAATTTCATGACGCTTTAATGTAAGAATAAAAGCAAATCCAACCCTAAAATTACAAAAATAGCAAAGTTTTTCCCTTTGTTCTGCAAAATCGTCAGTTCGTAGATAGGCGGTGTTGTTCGTTAGCCATCCATATGTGAACTAGTTTAATGCTAATCTGCCGAACTAGATCAGACATTATCTAACTTTCTCTGACAGTTTATTTTTTAAACAGAACATTAAGTAACACTGAAACTACAAATTTTGTGAGTATATTTTCTTAATCTAAGGTGAACTCATAGAAAGTTTAAAGGCCCCAAGTCCTTCAATTCTCTGCGAAAAAATAAACATGAAAGAAAATTAGGTAACATGAAACGTAGTCAGGCTGATTCCAGTATAAATTTGTACACTTTTGTATGGGCATGCTTGTTAATAAGGGTGTCTTAACGAATTCTTGCCGGAACACTATCGATATTGTCTCTTTTTGAAACTGGTGGCAGTACGGACAGTGGCGATGATATCGTTAACAGCCGGCCTCATCGGATTTTTGAGAGCTTGCACTCAATGCATTGTTGCCCCATGCGTCGGTTTATCAGATTGCCTGGCGTGGTGGCGCGTGAAATAGATGTACAAATAGCAACAGCTTAATTTCGTCAGCTCCGAAAACTTTGATCACTATCGGTAAGAGCGCTCTTATCATAACTTTTTCTTAACGGAACTGTTTCGGTAGCTTACCGACAACCGTTAGAACAGCCCTACTTGTTAATTCCTGTAATAAAATAAAATTTGTTCACAGGGGAAGCCACCTCACAATCCTGAATGGATGGGGCAGAATCATACCGATACAGTAAGGAGATCACCTCAGCACCCGCCCGGCAACACGCCTGATATAAATGAATACAGGGGACCTCCTCCATATCATCCTGGTCACTACATTCCGAATGGGAATTCTCAGGTATTAATTCAAAGGCTATGATTCAGTTCAAACAAACCTGTGCCAGTGTGCCTTCCTCAGGAAAGTGATACAATTCCAAAATCGCCAACTCCTAGCGCAAGTGTTTGAAAATCGCAGTAAAACAAATGCTTGTACTACAGAGGAAAGCAAATAGTTCACTTACAAAAAGATGAAAATGTTTCACGTTTATTAGTGCTTTTATAATCACAAAGTAAGTTACGTGAATTGTATTGTAGCCCTGAAGATGGGTGAAACCCAAAACATGTCAGCGGCCGGAAGAAACGTTTGTTAATTAATTTGAATAAAGAATCAAATTTGATATTACAGCATTTTAGCATAAAATTCAACTTATTTTATAAATGGTTTCCTTCTCATTAGTCTGTGTGTTTTAGAAATAAATGTGAAATTTTTATTTTTGAAGGATAGTCATTTTTCAGAAAAAATGTATTTTAGTGATTTGATTTTTCTGTAACCTTAATACAATTCAAGGACAGGTGGCAAATAATCATTTTTCCTAAGAATCAATCTCTTTAAAAATTGAAACTGAAAGAATGAAAAATCTACTGCATCATTGGCGTGTATGCATTCAATATTTGACGAAAATCGTTTAAAGGTTTGAAACATCGAATCTTATTCTAAGTTGATGCCATTTCTCCAATTTGTATAAAGAAACCAATGTCCTCCAACAATTAATTTCAAATCACCATCCCTATTATTATTGTATGCATCAAACGGACTTCACTAAATTTGAGCCAAGTCAGAGATTTGGCATTTCCTTGTTTCTTCTAAAAATACAGGAATTAAATTTTCATTATTCTTATCAAATTTTCTACACATATCTAGGCTTTTCTGGCGTAACTTATGTTATGTCTTTTTCCCTATTAATGTTTCCGACTCGGAACAAAATTTTGTCTCCAATTTCTTTTTCAATCTCTAATTTGTAATCTTGATAAATTGCCCTAGTATTTTTGTTGCTTTGATTCTACGACAGATGGTTTGTATTAACTTTGAGTCTCCATTGTCATGTTTGTACCCATGTACTTTTGAGGAATAGATAATCTATATATCTATCTAAATTTTCAGCCTGGAAATGCTGGAACGGGTATTATTGATCCTCCTGCTGGATATGTTGTCGGCGGTTATCGTCCGCCTCACTCGCAACAGGTCACACCTCCACATGCCCCTCACGCTCCAAATACTGCTCTCACAACAAATATCAACAAAGTAAGTTCTCCGCTCAATTAAAAAAGAATTATAATAAGAGCAGAATTATCGTTATTCTATACTGCACTGCTCCTTTGACATGTTTGCTGCCATGGTATTTTTTGAGTATGCACTCTCCTTGTGCCATGAAAGACACTAAACACACCCACACACAAAATAATACAACATAAGAACAGTTAGAAGAACTGATGCACTACATGGGCGACGCTGTTGCTGTGCGTAGGTATATGAAAAGGTTGAATTAGGAGAACAATCGAAAGTAGACAGCTGCCAATTTATGGGATCATAATTCTAATATAGCTAATCCAAAAAATTTGGTTGTTTTTCTGCTACAGAACACATTACTGCCAATGGAAGAGACCTATATTGCAATTAAATAAATTAACACTGTTGAGCCCCTGAATTCACAAATATCATTTTCAGTATGCCACCAATTGCTTTCTGTACCTTAATTATCTAAGTATTTAAGCATTTCTTAATAATTTTTTATGGCCTTTTCCTCCTCACAAAAAATTTCTGGTTACGCCACTAATTCCTGTCAGTAATCTTCCTTCCTTATCTGTTCCATATTCTAATATGTGACTTTTTGCTCATTTTAGTTAGGTAATATGGATGCAAACAAAGTTGCTGACCAAAATATGAACAAACAAGCAATTACCAATGGAGGAACGCAGCCAAACTCAGCCGGGAAATCCCACCATGATCCCCAGCGCATCACCATTACCCATGAGCAGGTTTGTTTTATTTGGAAAAATTTTGCCGTGCAGCTGTTTTGATGGAAACTTTATTACAGGATCTAGGTTTATAAATGTTTCGCAAATTAGTGTAGTAATACTAAGAAGTATCGCAGCAGCTCTCTTCAAAATTCGTACCTCCATCCTAACCTTTCTATAAACCATCAACAATTCGAGGTTTCACTGACGGTCAATGAATAACGAGACCTTAATACTGAGAATTCTCCTATTTATATCTCTGTCTAAGAAGGTAAGATTGATTATTTAACCTGTTGCGAAAATAAATGAGATTCAGTAACCATTTTCTTTCGCTCGAGGCTCATGTCACTTCAACTAGCAGCTATAAAAATCGCAACACCACTGCCTATACTTGGATGAAGAAAACTTGTACACACATCACACCATGATTTTTGGCCGTTTCAGAAAAACGACCTTGTGTTGAAAATAAACCTTGTATATAAACCGCGTCCAGACTTTTAACCAGGAAAAACAGATGAAAAATGTGACTATTATCAAAGAATATTAGTATGTTTAATATCCTTATAATGTGTAAATCATAACACCTAGTCAATTTCAACGCACTAATCTGTGTGTTTCATAATTTTTTCCAGTATCGTGCTGCACTTCAGATGGTAGTAAGTCCAGGAGACCCTCGTGAGAATTTTGAGCAGTTCATGAGGATTGGTGAAGGCTCTACTGGAACTGTTTGCATTGCCACAGAAAGATCTACGGGTCGTAAAGTTGCCATAAAGAAAATGGATCTGAAAAAACAACAAAGACGTGAATTGTTGTTTAATGAGGTGAGATATTTCCATTTCTATCAGTGAATAATGCAGATTAATCAACAATGCTTAGATGCACTAAGTAGCTTATAAGAGTCCGCTCAGGAGTGTTTTAAAACAAAAAGGCAATGGTTGCCTTTAATTCCCAACAATTTTCAAAAAAATTTGTCCAGTTGAAAGAAAATATTTTTGTTCCTTTAAAACGTTGACTGCCACATGTATTTTGTGCTTGCTTCCTATGATGCAACAACAAGGGTCTTCGTCGAAATGAAAGAGTAATAAAAAAATTAAAAAGGAAATAAGTAGAAAAAATTTGTATAAAAGAATAAGTGTGAAGGTTGCCTTCCGTATGAGTCCTATAACTAACAGCATCAGGGGAACAGTTCAAATTGACGGGTTCGCAACGGTGACTGGCTATATTAACAGAAGCTTTCACACCTAGTCATATTTACTGATATCGCAGTCAACATGTTTTTTGATACCGCAGAAATTGACTAAACTGTCACTGAATTTTTTTTTAAAAAAAAAAAAAAAAAAAAAAACCCGAAAAGCTACAAAGTAAGTGACCTTCTGTGGAATTTCTCACTTTAAATGTATGTATAGCTTATGTTTAAAAAAAAGGTCCAAAACAAGTTAAAAAAAATCAGTATTCAAAACGATGTCTCTATGGAATGAAATGCAAACATAAATAAAATACCCCAAAAAAGTTCTCGTTTCATGCTTAAAGGCTTCCGCTTTCAGGATGAATGTAAGTTTTCATTTGAGCTGTAAAATTAAAATCTGAGGGTTTTCTGTTTTTTTTTAGGTCGTCATTATGAGGGATTATCATCATCCAAATATTGTTGAGATGTATGACAGTTTCCTAGTCGGCGACGTTCTTTGGGTTGTAATGGAATTCCTGGAAGGCGGCGCTCTAACAGACATCGTCACGTATGCGCGTATGGATGAGGAACAAATTGCCACCGTTTGCAAACAGTGTCTCAAAGCTCTGGCTTACCTTCATTCCCAAGGAGTCATTCATCGAGATATCAAAAGTGACTCAATATTGTTAGCAGCTGATGGTCGAGTAAGTTGGCATTTTTCTCTTCTCCTCCCCTTTCGAACCATAAGTCAAATTTTAATTACTTTTCTTACAATGAATACATACTAAAATAGAAAAAACGCCCTTTCCAATTTCAAAACCCTTTTTCCTCAAATTATAGTTTCTACTTCAAATTTGTGAAAAATGTACGATTTCCGTGTTTCCTTGGAAATTTTAAAACCACCTAGTGCGATACCCACAAAAAAAACAAGAAATTGTGTTTCTCCTATATATACATGTTTTTCACCTCGACCAGAGTACAGTTTCTATAACTTCTGCCTTAACAATAAAAATATGTTCTGAGAAAGAATGTGATTAACTAATGAGATGCTTTCTCATTTCAGGTAAAATTATCAGACTTCGGTTTTTGTGCTCAAGTTTCACAAGAATTACCCAAAAGAAAGTCATTGGTCGGAACTCCTTACTGGATGTCACCAGAAGTAATATCCAGACTTCCATATGGTCCAGAAGTCGACATTTGGTCACTGGGTAATGAAATTTATCTCTCACAATACAAGTAGATTAAAACTGTGGACGACTTTAATTTTGTGCAATTGAATTTTTATATGTTCTCAGAGAGTTCAATTCAGTTCAAGACCTCTTAAATCACTCTCTCAAACTTTTCTAAATTTTGCCCCACCCTAAGTGAAATCTGACCGACCCCCAAGTATTTTATTTTTGGTTCATGAAATGTCTGTCTTCCTTTCAAAGTCCTGTAGTAGGAGAATAAAATGCAGGTTAGCAGGTTTCCTCTTCTCAGGTTAACCTCTTCTTTGAAGTCAAAGGCAAAAGTTGAATGACAAACCAATCAGAAAAACAAAGGATAGTGCAACTCTCATGAGAAAGCTGAGAAAAGATATTTTAGTCTCAGCCTTGCTCGAGAGAGTTCCTTCTAAAGACATCAACAATACTAAATCTCATTGTTCCATAGAGGGGAGTCTTCCCCCCTTTTACACTTTAAGTTTCTAAGCATTTGTTCCTGTTAAACCAGAAAAAGTTGCTTTGAAAAGGGCAAACTTCGGTCAACAACCGGAAGAACTCTAAAAGTGGGATCAGAAAAATATTTTGCCGAAAGAAAAATGTGCTTGCTGTGTATTAGTTGTCAATTTACCAACACCAGGTTACTGTTAGTTGATGTCAGTTTGCTAGTGTAGGCCTCAAAAGCACAACATAGAATGGATTCTAGGGTGCTTAGCGACCGGAGAAACTAGCAAAGTTAGGATTATGGAATTAGTTAGAAGGAGAAAATACGTAACCAGGAGAATCGCAAACTACCGTGCAAGATTGTGATTTTTTTAACAACGTCACCGTATTTGCACATGTGGTCTTGCAGCGCTATATATTTCCCTTGAAAATTCGAGGCTCAATTGGACGTATTTCTGTCAAACGGAACTAAGCGCCAATTTGAGTTCCTTTTGAGGAATTTAGAATGCCGGATAGCGCGTTCTGTCAAACGGACCTAAGCGCCATGGAAAAGCATTGCGAGTATAGGACGGAACAAGCCGGACGCCCAATTCCGCCGCCAATCCAAGCCCCCCTCTACCTTCCGCACCCTGTGGCGCTTAGGTCCGTTTGATAGAAATACGTCCAATTGATCCATACATGCACTTTGTGTCCAGCTTTATTTATTTTTCCGTTTTTTTCTTAATCAGGCAAGGAAGGTCAGGGAAAACCTAGGAAACCAAAAATCTAAGGGTCACGGAAAAACATTGAAAATCAGAAAGAGGAGAAAGAAAATTTTGCGATACAATCTGGGGTCATGGTAAAAGATCCCCTTTTCCTTCCAGTAAAGCTGTACACATTTTAGTCATTTTGAGTCTTAGGTATAGTAAACTGAGCTGTGAACATTTCAAAAGAAGTCTCCGCTCAAATTCATTCTCCAAATTATTCTCCCTCATTGATTTTTTTCGTTTACTCTTAGGTATAATGGTGATTGAAATGGTTGATGGTGAGCCACCATTTTTCAATGAACCCCCACTTCAAGCAATGAGAAGGATTCGTGATATGCCACCTCCTAAACTGAAGAATACTCATAAGGTAAGTTTTGGACTTTTTTGCTCTCATGCATAGCTCATTTTTTTTTCATTTTATAATTGGTGTGCATTTTAATATATAAGAATGGAGGTAAGTCATGATTATGGATATTAGCAGTAATACTTGTCTCTTAATTATTAGTTTTTCTGGCATATTTTGTTGTCAAGTGTTATGAAATTTTTTCGTAATAACTAGAGACTATGAGGCTTTCCTCATCGCCGCCGAACCGGGTGGTCTTATCACCGTGAGCGTCGGAGTCTAAGCCTCGGGTATGGGTGGCAGGGAAGCGGAGAGCGGCCGAAGTGGACTGGAAGGGAAGGGCACAAGAGGCGCCGCACAATGGTCCAGCCAGCGAAACCTCAATTTACGCACCTAAAACGGCGAATATCTCGAAAACCGCTCGTGGGATCTCTTTCGGCTCATAAGAACTTCTGATCAGAATGACTAGCTGAGCAACATATCCAAGTTTCAACAGATTCTAGAGAAAGCCATTTCCCATGAGGTCTGTGCGGGGTTCCTCACAGAAAAATCCGCTTTCAATGGTATTGAAGTGGCATTCAAACTGAATATTATTTTATGATTTCAGGTCTCCCCAAGACTTCAAGGCTTCCTGGAAAGACTTCTTGTGAGAGATCCTGCACAACGAGCCACAGCTGCTGAACTTTTACAGCATCCATTCCTGCGTCAAGCTGGCCCTCCTGCGCTTCTGGTACCTCTCATGAGAGGCTCAAGACATAGCAACTGTTGATGAAACGAAACAATTTACAGAATACTTCCTTCTAATTTTTATTTTCTTTTTAACTCTGGACAATAGACATTGCTCCAGCATCACTCAGTATTATTTATTGATATCTCCTTTTACGTTGTTGACTTATTAATAGGTTTGGAATTGTTAATGCTTTTCACTTGTTTCTTTGTGGCCTTCATCTTCTAAGACATGATCAGGGTTTTAACTTGTAAATATTGTCATACATCCAAGACTTCAAATGAGGTTATTACTGTAAGCTAAACCTCAAATTTTACTATGCTTACTCATATCATAATCATCTTTTTCATATGTTTATCCCAAGATATTATTCTGCCTCCTCTTGGTGAACGAATTTTCTTGTCACATCAGTAACTGTTGTGCATATCTGTGGCCTTCAAGCTCACTATGATTTGTGAAACAAATCAGTACTCATAGTGATGGTCTTTTGACCACCAAACGTAAAGCAATTTTTCGATGGATTTTTTTCCATTTTATAATATATGTAATTTTATCATTTTTACACAGAGTTCGGATTTTTGTGAGCTTACGTAAATGCAAAGGACAATTATCATGAAGTGATCAGTATTTTAAGTTATCTTTTATGTGAATAGTAACAGTTGTCATTCCAATATTGTACATACTTGTACATACAAAGGTAGAACAAATAATTGTTTTTTTTTTTTTTGTAAAGGAATCATTCTGAATTTTTATCATTCGAAGGCTATTGCCAGATCAAATTTCTCCTTTATCGATGCAAACTTTATTTTATTATCAATTCAAAGACAGGAACGCAACGCAGAGCTTCTAACTTTTAAAACTTTGTAATCATTGTAATACTGTTTTTTACTCCTTAAACTCTTCCTTAACTCTTGTCATACTCTTTCATTGTAAGTATCGCTACTTATGTAAGTGTGCTAAGTGCTTGTTCAGGGCTGTATTTGAGTTGTTTCTGAAAAATATCCTCTTCTTAAAGGGGCAGCTTCGGTGCACATTGTGATTAAAATTACTCTATCATAGAATCGTATCCTTTGAATATTTTATTATCCATTGTGGCAAAGTAATTCCAATCCCCTCCAAGGCTCTTATTTATTAAACTTTTCTGTTAATTCCTATCTCAATATCTTTAAATTTTTCCTTTTTTAATTCTACCTTGAAGGTCTCCTTTAACCTCCCTTAATTACTATGTGATGTAGGTTTTCCAAAGGAAAGAAACTGCCCCCAGAACAGCTATGGATACAGCCCTAAATTTTTTTTTTCGAAGTGTCGAAAAGAGATCATCCTCCCCTTTTTGAATCTAGAAAATGTATTAATTTACATTATCACCTGACGTTTATTGGAGATGGTTTTAACACAAATTATCGCTATTATAACTCTTTATGCAGGAGCTCAGAAATAATTCCAATCAATTTATCAAGACATTAATCAAGCTGTTAACTTGATGATGTACAAATTTTGTTTGCATTGTTTTTTACCAATTGAATTTGCAGTTTTTGGGGAAGAATAATCCTCTTGCAATATTACTACAATTTCTTGAAACAAATTAAAATCATTTTAATTGTATTCTTTCGGATCTCCGTCATGATCGCGACTTTTCATGAGTGGGTATCTCACTAACTTTTGCATTTTGTTGTTTCACCTCACTGGTTCAGTTTATCAGATCGCTCTTTCTTTCCCAGTTCCCCCACTGACACTCTTCACATTACAATGGAACTGGTTTTATTTTAATGAATCGGACCCATGCTCACTGTGATACCTGATCAAGTTTAATTTTTAATTTACTGTGAAAGTTTATACTATCTCCAATTTAATCTCCATCCCTAAGCTCTGTTTACCGTGTGTCTTCAAGTAACATTAAGATGGTAAAACTGCAGAAGCGCATTTCTAGTTCGCAAGGAAAATCTAAATCTCTACTTTATTTTTTTATTTATTTTTTTTCTTTTAAGAGTACAAACCAATATCATGGCTTGAGAATTTCACAGAATATTCTTCAAACAGAGAAAACTTAATGTCACGAAAATGTTCAAGGTATATGACATGCGTTCTGCAATATTGCAAATTGAGGCACGTGTTTCTGCAGTTTGACTGTCAATTAATCAACAATTATATTGCATACATTGACTAACTTTAATTTTTACACATTGCTGCCATTAGATATGGAAAACATTTTCGCAAAAAATGCAGAAGATCGGCAGTGTGGCATACAGTTTTGGCAAAAGCCATCCAGTTGCGCTGCTGATGTCTCCCAAATGAGACTGAGACTCAAAATATCAGTGCCTTTATTGGGCTCTTTTCTTGCAGTGTTATGGTGTGTAATTTCGCCCAAAAATATTTAAGTTAGTTTGTAGATGTATTAGTGGTCGGCTGCTTAACAAGGTATGCAGGCCAATGGCAGTCAATGTGCTAATGTTAATTTTGTTTAGCGTAAACATTAATGTATCATTCTTTATTAATGTAATTGCCTTGTTATATTCTTATAGAGTTTTGAATGAGTCTTAAAGTTGCATTAATTCATATTCACAAACTTGTTGCCCGGAAATTGACCACCTAGTTTTAGTCATTTGTTTTCTAGAACTTTTAGTTCTTTTTTTTTTTCAATTTTCCAAATATTGCAGCTGAATTCTGAACTTATTTTTGTAAGGTAAAATTTTCGAAATAGTAGAAATTAAGATCAACTTCCCTCCAAGATGTATTGTATCAGTATTATCTGCATTTATTCAGTATTGATTTTGTATTTTCCATGAGTTACATAAAATCAGTCAGTTAATTCATTTGAAAAATTACCATATTCAGACCTGTAAAATGCATGAAATGCATTTGCATCTTGAACGAAAATTTTAATAGCCCCAAATTCAGCATCTTCAATAAATTTTTTCTTCAAGAGTTTTGTAATTGTGGTTTTAGTTTTGTCTCCCTCATTTTGTTCAATACTGCTAAGAAAAAAAATGTATGAATACAAAGCTCCAGACCGGAGCTTGCTCCGACCTAGGAGCCCGACTCGAAGCTCCAGACCAGAGCCAGCTGCAATCTGGAGCCCAGTCCAGAGCTAGCTCCTATCTGGAGCCTGGTCCAGAGCTAGCTCCGATATTGGAGCCTAATTTTAGCTCTGGACCGAAGCTAGCTCTACCCTGGAAGCCTGATTTGGGGCTGGCTCCGGACCCCCAGCTCTACATATTTAAAATGTCCTGTTTTATTACCACAAATATATGTCGTCAACCTACTCCCACGATATCCAGAATGCGAATACCATATTTTTTCATAAAAAATTGAAGATTCTTGTCCAAAGTTTTTAAATGACTTGTCAGATTGGAGTGACAGATAGGTTCTTTAGTTCAAGAAGATTCAAAGTGAAGAGGCATAATGTAATATTAAAATAAAATTTGATTTATTTACAAGCATTTTACAAGGAGAGTGATTCAAGTCGTAATGAATTTTGAAACAAAAATAAAACCCATAGTAGGTTGTGTCAATCACAAGTACGAATGAATCTGGACATCACTTATAATTTCCTCACTTTTAACTTCTCACATTTGATTTTGTAAATGTGCCACTCAGAGGTTCAAGCTTACCTGTTCAGCCAAACATAGATCATACATCGGAAATGGTTTGAATACCGAAAGGAAAAATAGTTGATACTTAGCACTGTCATTAGGACAAGTTGCAATTTCAAATATATTGTTTGGGATATTAATGATGCAAAGTCATGCGGATATTAAGAGAAAATTGCTGCCAAACTTGCACCGAGTCTATTGAAAGGCCTTCCACTTTATTTTATCTTTTCAAAATCCCATTGTGGAAGGCAGTCAATTGACAAATAAAAACCTCATGAAGTGCTTTACTATACATACAGCAATATGGGTATGACTTGACATTAATGTACTTAACGGTTACAATTCAGCTATAATGAGAATTCTTCACTGCAAAAAATTGCACACTCTAAAGTTCAGGGTAGTTGATAAGATCTAAAGAATTGGGGGATTCCAAATGACCAGAGCATGTAAAACGTAAAATCTTGCACTAATTTTAGAAGCCCAACCAATTCATTCAGGTACACAATATTAACTTAAAAACAAACTAGCCTGTAATTAGAAGATGCACATAAAATAATAATTGCGTACTTCTTTGAGAGCTCAATCCCGGACAACTTTTTTCTCATCATGCTAAAAATGTTGACAACATTCTTTCTGTTTGTAGGTAGCTTAATTTGTTTTATTTTGGGTGTCAGATATAATATGCAGATGTTTAACAAGTGTTTGAGGAACCAGCTGACAGGGGTCACTAAAAATCCGATAATTATGAAACGTTTTAGCGCTAGTGAACACATGGAAAATGCACATTAGGTAAGACTTGTTATTGAACCATGAGTAATTAATGACGCACAGCTAAGCTATTTAACTGAGATACTATGGAAACCATAATAGGTGATAATGGATAACCTTGCCTCTCTCTGTTCCTCTTAACCTGCTGAGCTCTCAACATCAAAACTGGCCGACCGTAATCCTTAACTTCAGATAAGATTGATAGAAAGGAACTCCATTACTCCATTACCTTCCATAGTTTCCAGCATTACAGCCATACTGGGCGTTATTTTTTCAACCTGTAATTTCTTATGTTACGGCAAGCCAAAAAATGATGAACCATAAAGAATTGACAAGCGAGGACAAAAATTTGAAAACTAAAAGTAAATTACAGCCTATAAACAATATTTATCAATAATTTGACTAATCTCAATGGACAGAGCGTGCGTCTAAAATGCATTGCATGGTTGAAGAGCAAATTAGGTAACTTTGACTTGCATCTTATAGAATTTTTCATCAATGCGAAGGTTGTTAGTTTGGAGGAAAAGTAAAAATGTTGATGCTATATAACAGGCTTACAACTGATGAACTGATTTTGAGCTGTACACCAAGTCTTGGACTTACTACCAGAAACACTTTAATGAAAAATTATAGTACATAATGCAATAGCACACGGAATAATACAGACAGAATGGACGTCTTAAGAATTTCCTCATCACTGAAATGCAACGGCAGCTATTACAAAATTACTGAGAGGTCTACTTGACTGTCAATATACTCAGTAATTTATACCTGCCAATCTGTGAAAATACTCCCTCTAGAAATGTAGAGGGTGACAAATTTATCGGTTCGATTAGATTATGGTCTCATCTTTTTTTAAGGATTGCTGCAAACTGAGGGTATGAAGCTGATGGTTGACAAGTTTTGCTTTTCATGTATTACTACTGCGACAACAGTTTCCGATAAAACCTTAAAATTCCAACAAAAAAACTGAAAATCAGCAAATGCTGGATTTTCATACAGTTATCAAGGAGAGAGGACCACGGCTGTACGACATTTATACTTCATAGAGAAATTGCAAAAACGCATAAATGGTTTGTAAGGTTTCAAAATCTCACCTTTCATTTTTCATTTCATTAGAGGGAAACGAACAAATACTACGGCCTGAAATTTTCGGGGTACATTTGTCGCACAGAGAAGAAAAATCAGGGAAGTTTACGAAATGATGGTGCATATTTTCCCATTCAAAAAATAAATCATGACAGAGCGTTTGCTGCCCTGTAAACCAAGATACAGGTTTTTGCAGTTTCACCACCGACTTATACTGCAAATTTTTTAAATAAATCAAACTTCAGAAATTGTCTGGATTTAACCCAAAAATGTGCATACTTTCAAAGAAAGATACTTCATCTGAGAATTATTCTTCTAAAGGCACCATGCAGAATCAATCAAAGTACATAACCTTAAAACTAGAAACTTTTAAATACTGAGTACTTCAGCCGCTTAAGTAACAAATCAGAGCATGTTATTTGTTTGGTTCTAATTCAATGGGATTTGCACCACGACAATGATTTTGAGACAAATTTAAACTGAATGACTTCCAATTGAATTTCCTCACGAAAAACCGGGAAATGTACTCCGGAAAGTGAAAGAGTGTGGAAAAGAAATAAAAGAAAAAAAAGTGTTCAAAAAGCTAAGTTTCCTTCCGATGATATTATACGTTTTCAATGCTTGATACAATGAAAAAAAGGGAAATCTGGGGAAAAACCTGAAAACTATTTTTCGTGTGGCACACTATTGATATATTTAAGAATGGATTTTCTTGAAACAAACGAGATATTTTTTTATTCTCTTTTTAATGTAACCTATCTTCCCACGGCTCACTCACTATCTGGTGATGCCTCTCTTTTTGAATGAAATATTTTCTTTCATAGCATGACTCTCATATGCGTGTTAAAATAGCGTGATAAAAGAAATTTTGCAGATTTTTGATAGACTCATGGAGAAAATGAATAGTCATAAACAAAGAAAATTCAGATGTCATCAGAGATCCACATAAATACTCTCAGTCAAGTTTTACGATAATTTTTGCTAGAATATTTACAAAGTAAAATCTATGATTTAGTTTACAAATACAAATTAAACGTTTAACAATCCTAACAATGCTCAGGAAACTATATGAATAAGATTGGTAAAATTAAGTTCTTTGAGAAAAAAGTATTCTTCAGATTGATTCTTGGTAACAAAAATAGACGCAAGCTTTGAAATTTCTACAAAAAAAGAGACAAAAAAAGAACACCTTCAAGGTGCATTGTGTCCATGTTTGAGAACAAATCAACCAAATTCAATTCGTCGGAGAGTGCCAAAAACAGTGAATTGCCATTAATAAATCTGAGCAAAACATTGACTGCATTGACCTTAGGCCTTAATGTTGAAGTGGTAAAAAATGAAGAAAGGAAGAGAGAAATGCTTCCAATTCTGAGCACGGTGATTAAGAAGGAACTTTGAACTGTCGTCAAATATTGACGTATAAGTAAATTAGATCACCAACTCAGAATCATCCAGAAAACTCACAAGAAAGGTGAAATGACTTGGACAACAAGGTAGGTATATGCACAAGAATTTGAAGATCTTTGAAGGATTTGAGTGGGAGCTTCTTGTCAATAAAGGAAGAGAATAATATAACTGGTTCATCTAAAGATTTCATTTCAAGCTTGAAGTAAGCATTTTTTTTCTCCTTAAAAAAAGCGGAGAAGAGGTCTGGTAATGACTATACACATGGTTACAATTATGGCATCATGCTATTTAAAATTAATTGCTTTGAAATCCATCACTTACGATTTGTCTAGTTGTACTTTCAAAGGGAGCAAATTAATGTTCATAATGATTATTTACGTATAAATGAGAACTCAAATGACAGTTACCTTTACACAAGCATTGAATTAATTCTTTAAGATTATACATTATTACAAAACAAATGAATCTCATTTCTGGGAAAAAAAATTGAAAAAGTTGAACTGAAATAAATGGATAAATAATAAACAAAAAAATGAAGAACAAAAGAGGGAGCGAAAAATATTGCATAAAAAAGGATCGGATCTATTTTCCTCTGACAATGTAAAAATTTAAGTCATTAAAAAAATATAAAATATGTCACAATTTCCCTAAAAACAAAATTGTATATAATAAAAAATATTTACAAAGAGGTGACATTTGTTCAACTTTCGTCATAAAGCAACGACAAACCAGTTCTTCCTTTTTATCCACAGCATTTATGTTAAGCTTAAAGCAGAAAAACTCAAGAAAGAAGTAAAAGGCTGTTCCTAAAAAACCTAAAATAATACCAAAAGATGCAGCTTGATTGGAACAAGCACTGAGTGAAAACAGATAATACCTGTCCCACTGCAAATGAATTCTTGACAATAACCGTAGTTATTAGGAAATGTAAAATGGAAGTAGATAGTTTCGATTAAAATAGGCTTATGCATCGCAGCTTATTAATATGTAAATATCACAAAACATCAAGCTAACAAAAGTTGGGATAAAAGAAAGTACTTTATCTGGTATTTAATTATTTCTGGTACTAGTATTCTTACACCAAGATCCTACCTCATCCACATGCTCCTCTATCTTATATCAGGGAAATCCTTGAAATTTTGGACATACCCCAACATTTGGGAAGAAAGGCCTCTTAAAAACTCCTGAAGTACCAAAACCCCCCGAAACATAGTTCCACACCAATTTTCGAAAGAAAATCTGTAATTGGAATGCTTCATCTATTCATGATGTACCACTTATTAATATAGAAAGGAAACATTGGACGACTTTCGATGGTTTAGAAGAGATTTAAAAAAAATGTTTACCTTGATGTTTTAAATAAATTGAAACATGAAAAATATTTACAATACAGAATTTGTCGCAAATTGATGATGAGACAATATTAAAAACAACACTTACAACTTAATGACGCAAAATAAGACATAGGTTATTTTGCTGAATCAAAATTAAGGTTGGCAGCAATGTATGTACAATGAACTATTTATAGGAAATTTCAATACACTCTATTTTTGGTAAGAACAGCAAAACCAAGTCTAATCCCGGCAATAGGACAGTTATGAGAACAAAGGAAAACTAACAAAAGTCACTTGGTCGAGCATGAGGAGCGCAACGGACGTACGATTAAACACACATTCAAAGACATGACTCGATTTCATGGAGAGGAGACTTGCGCTCCGGTGGGTTGACAGGGGACGGTTTAGTTTCGACTATTTCAGGAATAACACCCATTGTTGGCGGTTCATCATCCTGATCTTCATCATCATCTTCTTCTTCCTCCTCATCTTCATCTATGGGTGTTAGGGCATCCCCGATTGGAGCTGGCTCTTCCACTGTCACACACCTCTTCATGGCAGGAGCGAGAAAACTGAACATTGCCGAAATCAAGAAGAAAAGAGCCGCCATGTAGAAGGGTAAATCATACGAATGAGTTGCATCTAACACTGCTCCGGCTAAGGGAGATCCTACGATGGCTGCAGCACCACGGAAAAGAATTAACAATCCAAATGCGTTTGTTAATCTATCCAGCCCAAGTAAATCAACCAAAATTATGGAAGTCAAGGAAATATAGCCAGCTGAAACAAGAAAAAAACTAAGTCAAAAGAGGCATCAATAACAACCCACAACAAAGGGTGGTTCTTCAGTTAAAATATTTCAATTTTTCCTATGAGGACATAAGCTCATTGAGGCATATTAAAATATTTGAGAAAACTTTCATTTTTGAAAGAATGGATGGCTGAGCGAATTTCCGAAAAGTAATAGGGAATTTTCCTTTCATGACTTCTCAAATTTATTATAGTACAACCTTGATCATCTGATGCATACAATATGTGCCACATGTAAAATGTGTGGAAATTATAGAAAACGAAAAAAAAAAACAAAAAAAGGAGGAAAAATTATATATAATTGTTGGAATATCATGCCATATAACTGGAGGCATATGCAAATAATTAAGATATTAGTGTAAAAATTTCAGGGACATTATCTAAGTAGTCCATCCAGATTAACATGACCGGTCACTCTATAAAGACTATAAGGACTTGGCACCTATATGCAAAAAAATCTATTCAAATATGAATAGTATGCAGGATGATGCCATTAAAGAAAGTAGCAAGTGTGAATTAGACAAGCCTGTTGCATATTAATCTTTCTCTCCTCATTGTGAGAGGTTTCAAACACCCTCTTCCTTCACTTTTATCTTTTTCTCTGCTTTATCTGAAATAAATAAGGGGAAAAGTAAGAGGGAATGAGGGGTAATAACTTTACCTAATGAAAATGGGACATTGCAACAGGATATCTGTACACTTTTTGGAGAAAAATTCCTTAGCAACACCAAGATTTTCCTTGCCGAAGTGACCAAAACACTCTGATTTTTTTCATCTAAAATCTGCCAGTGTGCATTAAAATTTCTCCGATGATTTGGCAATAGACCCAATTTGTTTGGAGAAAACAAATTTTACTAAGCCGTTCACCTTGGCGAATATACATCTGAGATGATGTGTATCTTCTCGAAGTAAAATTTATTTCCTAATGAGAAAAGTTGTATTGAAATTCAGCCTTTTTGAAAGCTACGTTTGTAGAAATGCAAAGTAAGAAATCTAGAATTGAACTTTTCAGGGGTAAGGACTAATCTCAAAAATTTAAAAATGAAAAAATACTTACAGACTGCCAATCCAAAGAACACACACATTATGATGTAATGCACGTAAGTTGAACAAATAGGAACGGCGGCAACGGAGAGAGTGCATATTATTAAACATATATTATTCAACAACAAAGAATCCACCCAGGGAAAGTCAGCAATAAATCCGCAACCAACTCGACCGACTGTGTTGATAATTCCGATGATGGAGATCAAAAACGAGGCTTTGCTATCTTCTATTCCCTGAAAAGAAGATAAGCAGATAATTGTGAGTTATAAAGTGAAAGGGCAGAAAGCAAAGATTCTACTCAATAAAATCAAACCTCAATTTTATGAGGCAGAGAAGCCTTTCAATTTTTTCTTTTCTTAGGACAATCCTAACTTCAAAACTGTTTTTTGAGTTATTCATAAAGTAAGTAACATTGAGAATCGGATTTTCATACATTTTCCCTTTTAACACACCCATGACAGAGGTCCACAACTCTCTAAAAATGTCATGTAACACTTAGTATGACCACCTCCCCTTCCTCTTTAAATAATCGCTTTGCGATATATTCTAGATGCAAATTGCCACCCAAGGTCAAGTGTTCATCAGAGATTTACGAAAAATCAGCGCTAAGTGCCCATTCTAGCTTTAAGTGTCGCTAAGTTTCACATTCAATGTTTGAAAGGAGAAAGCCAGCACCTGCCTCAGAATAAGATGAGCATATAACTTAGTGCATACTGAGGGCAGCTATCCTCAAGAGAAACAATTGCCTTCCAAGATTAAGCATGCTGTGTTTGATACTTTGCAAGAATAGTTGTTAAAAAAGTATGAAAAAATAAGGTAGATGAACAAACCTGCTGTTTAGCAGCATCAACTAGGTACACAAATGGCACATACAGTCCGGCCATTCCAAAAACGTTGCTTAACCCGATGAACATAAAAACAGGATCTTTAATAAGAGACAAATCCAGCATAGAAGACAATACTGATTTGAACGAATCAGGCAATGCGAAGCAGGGACATAGATCCGCTAGAAAAACAAACAAAATAATTGCATTAAGTAATTATGATGGATACTTCAAGTGGAAAATTGATGAGCATTTACCACACTGACTTCTGGATCATTAAAAATTATACTTAAGAGACAAAAGTTTCACTGAATACAGACATCATTCAATTTCCTTTGACTGCCTTGATGCAACTCTTGAATGAACGAATACACCAATTTATCTTTTGCAATTGAGCCAATATTAATTGTAAACACTTGGGTTGTTAGGTAGTTTATGGAGCTTTGTATCTTATACCTGGTGTTGGATATCACTGCTATTTTTATCACGCATATAGACTTCCTTCACAACTTCTACTAAAAAAGTCATGAAAGCAAACAATTAAAGTCTGTTATAAACGCTGATTGTGATTCTTTGCCTCCTTGCTATTAATAGTATTGGAGAGAAAGAGGTGCTGGTATTGTGAGGAATACTTACGAGGTCCTTTTTCAACGTCTCCACCATCCATGGCTCTTTGGGTGCCATATCTGGGCAGCGAGACAACACTCTGCCGATAACTTGTCAGTGATTTCTGCGTTTGATACTCTGGTAAATTGATCACACTACCAGAATAGAAAATATCTTTGCGAGATAATGGTCTCACCATCTCTTTACGTGCGTGAAGACTTTGCTTCGATACAGCAAAACATACACTCTCACTATCAATCTGCAATTATAAATCAGACTTCACATTTAGAAATTAAAATTCACATTACACAATTAGTAAAAACAAGATGAGTTTCTAAAGTCAGAATCTAACATTAAAAAAAAATGGCGAGATTTGTGTACTTTACTTTGGAAGACATGCATTTATCTGTTCGGAAAAATTTATGGAAGGGTTGAGTCGTACTGAATTCTGTATACCTGAGTATGGTCAAATCGACATTTTCAGGGAATTGTAATAAAATTCTACAGGTGCAATACACTCAAAAAACTGACAATCCAGATCAAAAAGCAGATGAAAAAACTTAAAATCTGACTTCAGTGACTTTCATTAACTTTGAAATGTCAACCACCTTTGCTTTAGAGCTTCAGTCAATGGTTCAGTTGGTTTCTTGCTTTGGAAACCATGCATCCTCCAGATATTACTTTTTTTTAACATAAAATTTATGGCTGATGGAGGATTGGATGGGATGAAATTATTATGATCCAAACATTGGAAAATCATTAATTAAGACACTGCGAGAAAATTAAAGGTAATTTTTCTAGTCCATCCTAATAATGTCTGTTCACTTAAGTGCTTAGATAGTAGAATAGTGTGGACCTAGCACTATTTTATCATCCTGTTACTTACAGTTTTCAAGCCACATTTTTAGTTTTTTTTTTTTTTGTTTGTTTGTTTGTTTTCTAGTCTTGAATTAGGTGCTTGACATGTAACTGTGATGAGGGTGGAATTGACTTTGAGCTGAAAATCCAAAATTAAATCAGTTAGTAGTTTAAGATACTCACGTCTGTTTTTGACCACATTTCATCACAGTTGTTATTTTTACTTCCTCCTAGATTGGACGAAGCGGAAAGACGAAGGTGCAATGATTTTCTCATGTCAGTATTTGAGCTAACATTGGGACGCGGTACTTTCATGGCAGCTACTGGAGGACGATATCTATCACCAGCGCTTGTTTTACGGATTCGGTCAAAAAATGGGACCGAGCCATTTTTAGGAAGACCTTGAGCATGTGAAGTGAATGAGGGTTGTGAGGCATTCCTGGGCATTAGTCCTTTATTAGTAGGCTCAGTGCCATTTTGAGTTCTTTCGTTCAATTCTATCTTCTCGTTTACATTCTCATTGCTTTTGACTTTCACATTTTCTTTACTAGATTTGGCATCTTTGTTTTCTTTGCTATCTTTATTATCTATGTTATTTTGTTTTTCTCCCTGTTTTTCCTCTTCCTCTTCAACTCCTTCGATCTTTTTTGTACTTGCGGATTTTTTTAAATCTAGTTTTAATTCGTTGGCACTGCCACTGCTTGAATTGTTACTTGAGCCACTTTGTTCTGGTGCTTTGACTTCTGAAATGGTAGGCAGAACTGGCATTGTAGGAACTGGAGTTATTGGAGACCCAGCGACTAACTGGTCCAAATTAAAGCTGGAATGAACTCCGGGGTCAACGTTAATTGGCATCTTAAGACGCTTTTCCATGCTTCCATCTGGAAGTTGGACTATGAAATAGGAGCCACCTATTGAACCTCGTTCCATCTGGAAACGCCGCTCATCAGCCATTCTCTGTAATAATGGCTTGGTTCCTGAACCTTTTGGATATTCTAGAGGCCTCATTAATGCACCGAAAACCTGCAACAAAAATTCTTGATTTCTGAACATCATAGGAATGATAATAAACTAAAGTTTTTCTACCTAACATTTGCTATGAGGGCTACAAAAAGATGCTCTGGATGAATAATACATTAAAACCGAAGGAATGTTCTAGGAAAAACACTCCCAAGGAATGTTCCAGGAAAAACACTCCCAAGGAATGTTCTAGGAAAAAGACTCCCTGAGTCCCAAAAGTATAGAGAAAAGAGAAGCCTGCTCATCGAGACAGTGTGATAGTGAAAATCACTATTGGTTTAAAGCAGTGAGCTGAAAATTTCCAGATTCTAATTGAAGACGATGATATGATGTACATGATGCTTTTAGTACAATTTCATGTTGAAAGTGACGAGAAATCTCAGAATAAAAAAATAACATGAACTTTTAACTACGTAAAAATAGAAACATCATCTCAGCCTTTAAGGGAGGCAAAATTTGTTGAGGGAGGGGGGAGGAGCAAACCCCCCCCCCATTCAAATTTGTAAATATTTAATAAATGAGGCCTTATCTGTAACAATGGCGGATGTAAAAAATTACCTTTTCGAAACACGCTTGAAAAACTGTTTTGGTCACACAAAAATTTAATATGTTTGCCTCTGGCATAATGTACAGATCTCGATGATCACATCACAAGTATTTTCTCAAAATTTTCTCGGTGCCAAAATAGTTTTTTGAACGTGTTTCAAAATGGTAATTTTTCACATCCGCTATTGCTACATATAAGTCCTCAAATGCTTCTTGTGACAAAAAAAAAAAAAAAAAAAAAAAGCACTGGTGAAGTGACACAGTGAATAAGGGGTAGATAGAAGTGAGGGTATCGGTAGGAACAAGTCCATTCCACAACTTACGGCACAATTGAGGATGAGGCCGGCCAATATCAAGTTGGCGCCCTTCCAACCGTACTGTTCTATGAGAAACGCAGCGAAGGGGGCGAAAGCGAAAGTGCCGACCCCCGAGCCACACACTGCGATCCCCGTGGCCAGAGATCGCTTCGTTTCGAAGTAGTAGCCCACGCACACGACTGCAGGCAGGTATATCAACCCGAAACCGATACCTGTAACAAGGTCATGCATCTAAGTTAGTGAAAATATTGTCAGGACACAAGTAGAGTACCTAAATTGAGAGAGTATGGCCACTGGGCCCCATGGAGAGGCTTAGGACCCAAAAATGGCGGTGCTTTGTTTTGGTTTTTGTGGATGGGAGGGGGGTCATTGCCAACTTTTGACGGTTATCACCAACCGCACTTGCTGCCGACCTTACTACATCTAAGATAATTTTTCTCAAAAATTGCACACGATTAGCCTTAAAAATATGTAAATAAGTCGCAATAGTGCATTTGGGTAAATTTCTCGTTACGATAAGCAAAGAAAACTACATTTTGAGTCATTTTGCATTACATTAATTTATAGCGTCCGCCATTTTTGGGTGGCCAATCGGAGGTGGTAACACCAGTGGCCATACTCTCTCAATATAGGTACTCTAGACACAAGATGATGGATTTTTAAGAGTAGGCGGCCAAGCAGCCGGTCTGTAGAAAGAGACTTGGATTGCATTTTGCAATAAGGAACCAGAAGCATAGCATTGTTGCTAAGATTGTGCAACTTCATCCTTTGAAATACAATTACTGAAATAATGAAAAAATATGAAATTCACATGGTAATTTTTGTCTTAAATTTACAATTATTAGGAGGTAAAATAGAGATTGTTAGTAGATAATCAGGTAATTCTGCCGAGGCAAAAGAAGTTGCACAATCTTAGCAACATTGCAATGCTCCTGGTTCCTTGTTGCAAAATGCAATCCACTTGTTCTGGGGCGGAATGGACCGAGTGCATCGGAAAGGCACCAACCCACATCAGGTTGAAACTGAGAAAAAGAGGTTTGAAGTTTCATTCCATAAGGCTCAATGTAGAAAATTAACTTTAACCCCTCTTTCCACGAACTAATTTCTGTTCTTCGACTTTCAGTTTTTGGCAGGAGAAACTATACGACTGGTAGAACTCGAAAACATTCTTGACTTAATTTTTTCGAAAATGTAGGTTGGTTCCTTCCTGATAAACTCGGTCCAGATGAGACTGGATTCTTCGTCACACTTTTTTCCAAAAGTGCTCCGAGTTGGTGTTACGTCTCCTACCCTCCCTAAAAAATTTCCAAGAACACCATCGAGGTTTTCTTTTTTTTTTTTGGAAAATTGAATGGAATTTGATGTAGATTTGTATAGATTTAATGTAACCCGAAATATAAAATATCATCTGAATTTCTGAATCGTTACAATGAGGATACACATTTTCCCTTCAATTATGATAAAAACGGGAGCAGCAAGTCAAGAATGATGACACGCAGTCCTACAGTCTTGTAAGCGCTAATATGCGTTTCACGCCAATTGACCGACTGCACTGCGTTTGGCGCAATGCGAGAAGTATTCATGCAGTCTTGTAGGCGCTAATATGGGCTTGACGCCGACCGCACTGTTGGGCGCAATGCGAGATGTATTCCTAAAGTCTTGCAGGCGCTGGCATACGTTTAACGCCGGCTGCACTGTGTTTGGCGCGATTATTCGAACTCGCGTTAGAGTAATCGCGGCATCGAAGAATAGAGCTTTAAAAGGCCTATGCTGTGTTTCGACGCCGTATGAGCATCAAACGTTGCCTCGTTTCTCCCGATTAAATATTTTTTCCGAGAAAAGTTCGGAAAGCTCTTTATACCCACGAGCATTGTTCAACATTTTCACTTCATTTATCATCAGAGGGTGAGATATCGATGACTTGTCAACAAACTAACCTAAACTAGCGTTAACATAAAAATGCGTTTACTTTCCGACTGTTTCCTGTTTTGCCAAACTTCTACCTTAAAACTTCCTTTTAAATTCGCGCATTCTTGTAGCAGATGTTACACTGGGAAAAAACACATTGGATCTGGAGTCCAGACTCTTAAAAACATCGACAAGAAAAAATACTCTTGATTCAATCGGATTTTTGCTTAAACCAAGAACTGAGCCTCATAATTTGAGCGGATTTCCTTTTGATTTAAGGAAAAATCTGATTGAATCAAAAGTATTTTTTCTTGTCAGTGTTTTCAAGAGTCTGAACTCTAGATCCAATGTGTTTTTCTTCCAGTGTAAGGTTTTTATTCGCGCAATCCTCATATATTTTCTTAGACCTTTCACGGAATCCTGGAATACCGCGGCAGAAGTTAGTCGCTGAGGCGGTGAGCAGGCGGTTACGCACCGGGGAGAGGAGGAGGTTGGAGAAAAAACCCGGGAAAAGGGATTAAAAGCGGCTCGTGTGTCGAGTGGCGGGTGGGTACTCCAAGATCATCAATGACGGGTTACATAGTTAACGAGCAACATAGTGGCCTATCCAGATCTCCACTCCGGTGAATGAAACGAGGAGGAAAGAATGAATTTATGACAGTGGAAGAAAGTGCAATTAATTTCGAGTGCGGGCAAACAGTCTTATCGGGTTAGGCCTGGAGGACCATCCAAGGCAAGGGCGGGACGAGCCTCGAGTGCGTGACGCTTGCACTACTCCCTCGCCCGCCATTAGCATAACCCTATTGCTCATTTGCTCAGCCGATTCTTCGCGGAGGTGTAAAGTCGCATGAAATTTTAGCGACTTGCATGAAACTTCCTCAGTGGACTAAGGATGGCTACACTGAAAACAAAATTTACGGGCTGCATAGACTTAGCGTCCGTTCCGTGCTCGGAGGCTGAAAGTTCCGGGTGCTGGAGCCGTGGCTCCGATTGGTCCGGGTACTGCGCCCCGAACTTCCGGCCTCCGAGCCCGGAACGTGGACGGTATGTATAAATAGCTCATTGGGTTGGCTTGTTGGCTCGGCCGGAGTTTTTTTCAGTGTATATCCACACAGGTATTGTGTTATTCCGTTTGGATATTAGGGACGAAAAAAAGATACAGAAAGAAGAAGGAGAAAAAAATGATCGTGAGTGGAACTTTTCAAAAACTGTCGACATTAAAAGAGTTTGGTGTAGTTCTCTTTTCTTCTATGAAATTAGGGTCTAGCAAAATTGAAGTGAAAAATTTTATCATAGTTACTATTATCAAGTATTGGGTGTTGAGGAATTCGTTTAATTACAGATAACGAATTCCTTTTTACACGAATAATTTTTGACTTAAATTTTATCTGATATACATTTCAATCAAAACAACACCCAAAAAGGGTTCTCGCTTTGCTAATTTAACGGTTTTTTTAAAACAAGAAATCGTCTTTTTAAAATTAAAAAGCTTTGAAAACTTTTTTTAAACATTTCACTACCTTCAATTCCAGTAAGCATCCATAATACTACCCACCCCGACTTCTACCCTTTTGCAATACGTGACAGTGGTCTGAATTCTACCCTACCCCTCCCCACTACGTTGCTTTAAAAAGGAGGACAGCTGAAAAAATGTAGGAGAAAATCGCATGAGTTTTCGATGGTTGGTACTTAAACGGGAGAGATTCGACAACGTTGGGATATTCATAAGGCGTTTTTCCATGAAACGGCGGCGCGACGTTACGGAGGGCCGCCCTCTCGACGCTATCTTTATTATCTCTCTAGACTCCTGTCTATAAATTCCGGGGCTTTCGTCTTGGACTTGTCATTCTCGAGCACCTAGATAACGGCAATTAGTCTAGTCACGGATTAAATTACTTGACGATGCTTCAGGGTCTCTGCTCCATCGTCTGCGCCCAGGGTGGCAAAATTTCAGGAAATACAAATTCTTGAAATATTTCCGCGTTTTTAATGTGCGCGTCGTGTTCTACGCGTCATTTACCCTTAGAAGAGTGTACTCGAGAGTTAAAATTCGTTCATGCACTGGAAAAAAAAACACATTGGATCTAGAGTCCTGCAGACTCTTAAAAACATCGACAAGAAAAAGTACTCTTGATTCAATCAGATTTAAGCTTAAATCAAGAACCAAGCCTCTTAATTTAAGCGGATTTCGTTTTGATTCAAGCAAAAATCCGATTGAATCAAGATTATTTTTTCTTGTCAATGTTTTCAAGAGTCTGGACTCTAGATCCAATGTGTTTTTTTTTTCCCAGTGTGGTTAAGTGGCCAATTCTAGCAATGTTTTCTCCTTCTCTGAGGGCTGATTATTGAAATTGACAGACGAAGAAGACATGGGGAGTTTGGAGCGATCCTATTGGTTAAAATGGTTGGTCCTATTGGTTAAATCCTAAGGGAGTAAACGATGGACTAACTATAGGGTCTCTTGTGGGTTGCCGTTAGTTTAGTCTATTACCTACCTCTTTAGTCCATTGCAACCACCCGCTTCCACCAATAGGCTCCCTCCATACCCCTTTTATCTTCTTTGTACATAGCTTTGTCTATTAATTTCGATAATCGGCCCCCTGCGGCCCGATTATTGAAACTATGTCGGTCCGACAAGACAAGACACAGCCCTATCTTAACCACGCAATATATCGCAATTCGATGTCTTATCAGGTTGCTTTAAACTTTTAATAATCGGCCCGCCAGGTGCCCTTTTTTCATCTTAATATGTTGATAAAAATATAAATCTTACCTCCGAGAACCCCGTAGGAGAGCATGAGTTGATTGACGTTAGCCGAGAAGATACTGAGAACGAAAGCGAGGCAACTGACGATACTTCCTGTGATGCACACCTTCCGGCAACCGAATTTGTTGGTCAGGGCACTTACCACCGGACCTGAAATCAAAAATTACATTTACAATCTCTTCTCGTGGATGACTCCAAAAATCTGAAAAACGAACTTCTATCGTCGTCAGTTTCTCCATACGTGCACTGGAAAAAAAACACATTGGATCTAGAGTCCAGACTCTGGAAAACATCGACAAGAAAAAGGACTCTTGATTCAAACAGATTTAAGCTTAAATCAAAAGGAAATCCGCTCAAATTAAGAGGCTTGGTTCTTGATTTAAGCTTAAATCTGATTAAATCAAGAGTATTTTTTCTTGTCGATGTTTTTAAGAATCTGGACTCTAGATCCAATGTGTTTTTTTCCAGTGTGCGGTAGAGGAGAGCGTTCCGCATTTCGGTTTTACGTGTTGAAAGATAGGGACCCACAGTGGAACGAACTAACAGACGAGGTCGGACATGAAATTTTTGGCTAAAATTTCAAATTTTTATGTCTATTTCGTCACAAATTCAGTTTAAACGGGTGTCTCCGAAGGAAAATTTCACGAGAAAACCAATGGAACCACTATTAAACTTTTTCGTTTCATACTTCCAAAAATATAAGCTTTCAAAGTTTCCAGATTTTGTCCCGACTTCTCCTATTGATTCGGTACAGTAAGCGTCACAAGAGGGTTACGACGGAGGAGAGGAGGAGGTCGAAAAATACGACCCTGGTAAAAATTGGCGATAAGAGCTGCGTTTCAAAATACCATAGGAATTCTTATAGCCGGCTAAAGAAGGCTACAGAGAATCATATAGCTGGCTGTAGAATGCGGAGAAAATCATACGGCCGGGCTATACGAAGCGATAAAAAATTATCCAGCCGGGCTATAGTTCCTATCGCCGGGCTTTACACTTTATCGCCTGGCTGTTGCTTTTTCGCCATCGATTATAAAAGGCTATAAGAAATTGTGTAGAAATTCGTGTGCTTTGGAAATAATTAAGTTTGATACGGAACCACCTTAATATTTACAAAACACACGTTATATTCTCCTTCAATACATATTTTTTTTCATCAATTAAAATTAGAACAATCCATAAAGGATGTGCAAACATTTCAAAATCATGAGTTGAATAACGCTGACTCCGCCAGATTCAATATTAGAGCCGAACACAAAGCGGAGCGAAGACGCACTGGCGCCTACAAACCTAACAGGGATACTTCACGTATTGCGCATCGCGTGAAGTATCCCTGTTAGGTTTGTAGGCGCCAAAGCGCTAGCTGCCCGCCTGCCGCGCCACAGCGTGCCACGGCGCTTGAAGCAACTATTTCACACCAGAGGTATTGCACAGTATCATACGAAACTGAAGGCGCTCGAATATATTAGGAATGGCAGGCATCCTTCAAAAGTACGGAGCTTTCCTCGCAAAATAAATCAAAGATACTACTGCCCAAAAAGAGAGCAGTAGTCCAAAAACTCACTATGTCCTAGCCCGTAATTAGTAACGTTTAGCATACACTTTATCGCCTGGTTGTTGCTTGATCGCCATCGGCTATAAAAGGCTATAAGTAATTGTGTAGCCGGCTATAGAAGCTATTGGAAATCTTACAGCCGGCTGTAGGTCTATGGTATTTTGGAACACAGATTCTACTGCCAATTTTTACCAGGGGAGCTTTAGAGTTAAGTATTTCATGTCCTACGGCGGACACTTACTAAAGGATTAAAGGGCTTATAAGTGTATTTGGGAGATGTCGGATAACCCCCAATTCAAGGATGTGAAAAAAAATTCAGGTGTATTCAAGATTTTTTTTTTTTCTCAACGTCAAGAAGCTTGCCGAGCAGACGTAAGCAGACGTAAGAACTGAAGTTTCAGATGTGTGATCCAAACCTCAGCAGCTGGATCATAAGTGTTCGGATGCTCGATCCGAAAACTTCAGAGATCCATATGACCTAAACTTCGGGTCCCACGTACGAAGTTTTTTTCTCCGTGTGCAGTTCTAGACACCATGAATTATTGAAATTAATAGATTTCAAATTTTGTGAGATCTATTGGAGTCTTTCGAAATATGGACATATTTCTATCAAACAGACCTATGTGCAAGTGAGAAATATGGGGTATGCTCGTTAGTTCTCTTTGCGTAAGAGTGAATGAGAATAATGAAGCGTCAGTGACGTCAGCGGCGAAGAAACCGACGCCGTTGCGGCTCGTGGTCGGCTTCAACTCATGAGCCCTGTCCACAACGCTGTCTTGCCATGCCCGCGGCTCATGAAGCTCGCATTCAGTTGGCACATAGGTCTGTTCGATAGAATGTAATATCCCGCTTTTCCAATTCTTCAAAAGGAATCACGCACACTTTTACATTGCTTCCTATGCAGCTTTCTAGAGCACACCCCATATTTCTCACCTGCTCATAGGTCTGTTTGGTAGAAATACGTCCATATGACTTTCCGTGTGTGGGGGTGGTGACTTACCGGCGCTGAGGTACATTCCTGAGAGGAGACTGCCGACCCAGGCGGTCTTGCCCTGGCTCTCGCCGAAGTGCTTGACGAACTCCTGGAGGAAGATGCCGAAGGTGTAGGCGATGCCGTCGACGATCATGTTGCTGAGGAAGGAGGCGAAGACGATGACCCAGCCGTAGCCTCCGTCCGGGGGCGGCGGGATGTCGTGGTACTCGCAGTAGGACATGTTGTCCTCCTCCGCCGAGGGGCTGCACTCGTCCCCATCGCCCCCCGTCAGCCGGGCCGCTTCCTCGCCCCGCTCTGAGCATTCGCTCTCCGTCTGCAAACACACGACAAATTCAATCATCAGTAAACACAAAGCCAATACGAGGCAAAACGAGGTGCATACCGAATGAAAAAAATGCAAATCTAACCTTAAAATTACAAAAATGACCAAGTTTTCTCTTCGTTCTGCAAACTCGTCAGTTTGTAGGCGGATTAGCCATCGATAAGTAAATCAACTGGATAGAACAAAAATATTAAAAAAAAACAAGAATTAGACTACTTTACGCAATGGAGAATTTTCAGCTATCTGAACATTTGCGAATTTCGGGTTTAATTGTCAGATGAAACGACCAAGGGAACGGAGCACGAGAATATCCTTACTTTCTAAATTGAACAATAATTGAGGCATTTTTTGGTAAAAGGACTTATGAGAGTTCCAATGCTGCTAAGATTGTGCAACGTAGTTCTTTAATTAAAAGTAACTTATCCGCCAGTTCTGCTATGAATTTTTCCCAGAATCTGCTCCAAGTTTTTCCAGTAAGTCGATTGTGAATGAATTTCATCTGACGCAAACGCTATTGAATACTGAGAGATCTTAGCACCATTGCAAGCATCGTCGTTCTTTCTACCGAAAAATGCCTCGACTATTGGAGGAGATACATCAAAATAACCAAATCTGTTACAATGTATTTGTTTAAATGAGAAAAGCCGCCAGATGCCGTTGCATGGCGGTACATTTCCTAACTTTTAAATTTATTTTTCTACAACTTCCCTCCTATCAGAAAAAATGATGAAAAATACTGCGAAATCAGCTAATTATAAGCACTTTTAGGTAAACCAATGAAAAGTTTTCGTCCAAATTCTTCGTTTGAAATACTCATTTTAGAGAGAAAACAACGTATGAACCATGGGGCTCCCTCAGCAACAAAAAAAGTAGTTCCTTATTGCGAAATGAAATCCAATTAATTTGACTTATCCTATAAATTGCAATAAGAAATTTTTGAATAATTATACAGAGCGAACACCCGAATAAAAACTAAAAAATTAAACGGTGTTCTACAGAAAAAGGGACAACTCGAAATACCGATTTCAATGCCTCTGAAAATAAATCAAGGGTATTTGTCAATGAATGAAAAAGAAGATAACGAATAAAGTCCTTTCTCCTTAACAAACCTCTCAAAATCCGAATCATTTTACCATAATACTGATATTTAGTACCCCTTAAGATTAGACTTCCCGGCGTGCGTTATTCGAAGGAAATCAACTGATTAAAAATAGAAATCTATTTGTGATCACACTGGGTTACGGCGACGAGGCGTAAATATCCAGAGTCAACAGAAATATTTGGGCCGTACCGCACAACTTTTTCGAGAAAAATGAGATTTTTCTTCGGGCACATACAGAGATATCACTGTTTTGCCCTTAGTGAGAGAGCGTGGACCGAAGCATTAAATAAATTTAGCTCCAGAAAAAGTATACAATTTTATAATGAACGAGTACGCCAGTAACGACATGTGAGATGGGCTGACTGAAACTTGTAAACTTGGTTAAAATATTCAACAACTTTCATTATTAAAAAATTCGTTTGCATTTAAAAGAGTACAAATGCGTCATCGAAGGATGAGAAATATGAGGGGGAGTAACCTTGCGGTACTTGCTGGGGTAATATATAAGGGCAAGGTTCAATCGGTTTCGATTTTTACAATAAGTTTTATAAATAGTATTGTTACTTCCGTTGGCGTCGAGTTCACGTATTCAATTTGTGGACATGTTCACAATGAGGTAAATCGTCTTCCTTTTTTTCACAAAAAGCGACATACTAACGGAGCGGAATGACCAATCAATGAAATACCACGAAAATACATGTACTTAAAAAGCATTAGCACTGATTAAATTCATGGTTCCGTAAAAAATAAACACAAAAAGAATTAATATGGATTAGAGCAGTCACGCGACTTGCATGTTAATAAACACGAAGGAGTGCTTAAAATTCCGATTGCCAAAGCAAATATTCACATAAAAACTGCACTATTCGGTGGCAGAAATTTCCCTCTCAAGTGACGCACGCGACCTAATCAAAATATCTGAGGCGAGTACAAAACACAGTATGCGCAGCGACAGCAGAGTGTCTACTAAAACAGGCGGGCCAAGAATCAGTACTTTTACAGTACTTTTTCAGTACATTCCCGAAAAATACAGTGCCTCCTCAATAGAAAAATTCAGTACTTTTTCAGTACCTCCATTTGACGAAATTCGAAAAATTACAAAAATGTGAATTTCTCGCTCAAATTGAGACAAAAAAGACCAAAAAATGAAAAAAATTCCGGACCTTTTGCGGAATTTCCGCACTTTTTCAGTACTTCCGGACCCCCCTTAAAAAATCGGACTTTCCGGAAATTCCGGACTCGTAGACACCCTGGACAGTATTCCACTAAAACCATGCTAAAAACGAATGAAAGCGACCAAACTGCTGCATACAACTATTACAGCTCCAAAGCCGCTCACATTGCCTACCTACATCATTGAAGGCGAACTGATTGAGCGCGGAGCACAAGAAGAAGCGTCAATGATACGAATAAGTTGCGTGTTGCAAACGAGTTCAAATCACTTTTGCGCCAATAAAGAGCGTACGTTTGCATTATAATCCGGCAATCCCGTGTCCTGAATATGTTATGCTAGAATGCGAAGAAAAAGTTTTCTTGCTGCTCCATTTTTACAGATGCCGACTGCGATTCGCTAAAACTCTAGCTCGGTTGGGCGTTTCATTCGCTCTGAATGTAACGTACTCAATGCTCTGATGGCAATACCTCGATTTTGGATGATTGTGGACTGATATCATTTTTGGATTGGCGGGTGTTGCGGAACGCGATGCTCGCTCCGTCCTATACTTGCAATGTTTTTCCATGGCGCTTAGTTCTGTTTGACAGAACGCGCTATCGGGGATTCTAAAATCCTCCAATGGAACTCAATTTGGCGCTTAGTTCCGTTGAACAGAAATACGTCCAATTGGAGACACTGAAACACCGCAATCTAGAAATGCTCTTTCTGCACCCAACGCCTCAATTTTTGGTTCATAATTTGAAAATTTTCAAAATTTTGGGGGATACATTCCCTGTCTATTTTCCTTACTATCCTCCCCTATATTTCCTGACTTTCTTGTTCTCCAGACCTACAAGGGCCCTGCACTCCTGCAGAGATCCTAGATATTTCAACTTTTCAACGGAAGCTTTTCCAATTCGAATGAAAACATTTCCTCCGCGATGTGTTCACTCTCTCGGTGAAAATCGAGTTTTATCCATTGATATTACGACATCGGGTCACGTTAGCGCGAGCGGAGCTAAAAGTTAAATGCAGTTTGCAGCTGGGATAGTTGGCGGAACAATGCTCGGGCATAAATATGCAAGCCGAAACCTCGTGTTCATGCTCGGGAGGACAACAAGTGCAGTGGCGTGCCGTAAATTGCGATATATCGATTGTTACGCCATTGAAACCTATGGAAAAGGATCGATAAACAGGGTGTTCGCAGCGAACACCTTAGTATTCGATTCTTTACCATAGCTTCAAATGGCGATATATCGATAATCGATCCCACGCCACGCCACTGTCGGGAGGACAACAAGTGCCGTTTAACCGACGGCGAAGTTTGGCCGCCAGTCAGGAAACGTTCGCATCCATGGTCGCATGCCGCGAATTCAGTTTAGTGGTGAATTGGGTTCCGACCAGTCCCACTTTCAGGTGACAACTTTCTGCTTCGACGCCGACGTAAATCCGCCGGCTCCCACCGATTTTATTCAGTGGCGTGGCGTGCTTTGCGGTATATCGATTGATCGACCATTTAAACCTATAGAAAAGTATCGATTAACAGGGCGTTCGCAGCGAACACCTTAATAATCGATTTCTTGTCACGGCTTCAAATGGGGAAATATCGATATATCGTCACCTTCCAGGCAAAGTATCACAAGCGCCATGCGACGTTTAAAAATTTCCGCCGCCATTTTATTTTTTTACAGAGGAATTATTCAACGAAGCTGTCCGAAAATTTCACTGAATTTTCTTTGTGCTGCCGATAAAATTTAGTGAAATTTCCTAACAGATTCAACCAACAATTTCTCAGTAAAGAAATAAAATGGCGGCGGAAATTTTTAAACGTCGCATGGCGCTTGTGATACTTTGCCTGGAAGGTGACGATATCGCAAACCACGCCACGCCACTGATATTATTACCCGGAGGGAAGCGGTACAAACTAACCGACAGGGATGTCAGATTTCCTGGGATCTTCAAGCCCGCGTATCGAAATGGAGCTCTTGCATGAGTTAGGAATTTGCGATTTGAGCGCTGCACCGTTGAAAAATTTCGCGAGGAATACGGTGGTGCCATTGGTTTTCTCTGTAACGAACGTTAAAACTCATGAAAACCTCTCGAAGTTGAGGTCGTAATGGAGGGGATATCCCACGCTATCCTGCGAGTCCACCTCCAAAACTAACTTTCCGAAATTTAGATGGGTTTTTAAAGTTTCAATTTTCTGGAATTGTAACCAAAATTTAAAAAAGACATACTTTTCAATTTTTGCGAATTTCGAAAAAAAACACGAGTCAATTTGATCGAGAGACCCTATGGAATCTAGCAAAAAAATTTTTTTTTTGGAAAAAATACTCAAAAATCCTGCGAAAAGGGATATCAAAGTTGACTGAATTACTATAGGCCAGCATAGGCCTTCACTGGAAAAAAAACACATTGGATCTAGAGTACAGACTCTCAAAAACATCGACAAGAAAAAGTACTCTTGATTCAATTAGATCTGAGCATGAATCAAGAACCAAGCCTCTTAATTTGAGCGGATTTCCTTTTGATTTAAGCTTAAATCTGATTGAATCAAGAGTCCTTTTTCTTGTCAATGTTTTCAAGAGTCTGGACTCTAGATCCGAAGTGTTTTTTTCCAGTGTTCCCTACCTCCTTAAAATTCAATTTTTCTACTCAACTAAGAAAATTCCGCCTTCAAAGCCTCCCTTTTTCCGCGACTCCCAATCANAAAAAAAAAAAAAAAAAAAAAAAAAAAAAAAAAAAAAAAAAAAAAAAAAAAGATGAAGAATTTTTATTAGTGCTGGAGGTTGTTAAATCGGACGCAGTTCTCTCTTCCGGCCTGAAATTGAAAATCCATTTTCACGGCGACGGTAGAGAGCGTGCGTTTAGTGACCCCTAGATTTTCGACGGTGCGGGCCCGGCCCGGGCTGGGGACGATGCTGGGACTGTATCCATATCTCAGCTGGATAATTAAGGTTAATTACGATTATGGGAGTTAGGACTGGGCAGTGTTGGCCGCTCAATTGGAGGCAACGAGCGAATTAATAAACAACAAATTAGTCCGGACGCCTGGGAGCCGCACGACCGAATGAGCCGACCAATTAGACCGACACTAATAATCAGTATGCTCCGGCGCTCAGTGGCTCGAGATAATAGGAGAGATCGGACGAAACTTGGAGACTTTAAACGCTTATAACTCCGTATGTATAAAACTCTGAGGTTCTAAGAGTGGTTCCATTGATTTCTTCGTAAAATGGAGATGTTGCATGTGTGAGGGATTTGCGATTTGACGGCTGTTTCTTATGTAAAAGTTCGCGGGAAACACGATGGTGCCACTGGTTTTCTCTGAAATCAACCCCCAAGCTCAAAAAAAGCTCTCAAGTTGAGGCCTAAATGGAGGGGATATTCCACCCTACCCTGAGAGTCCACGTCTACATCAAGATTAACTCTTCATGCAAAGAGAGGGAGCAAATACATTGACAGGGCTGCCACTTCATTTGAGGACTCCACAACTGAAAACACGACAACCCTGCTATTGTATTTGCTCCCTATCTTTGCATGGAGAGTTTGTTTTGATGTAGAGGTGGACTCTTGGGGTAGGGCGGGATATTCCCTCCATTTTGGCCTCAACTTGAGAGCTTTTTTTGAGCTTGGGAGTTGATTTCAGAGAAAACCAGTGGCACCATCGTGTTTCTCGCGAACTTTTACTTGAGAAACAACAGTCGAATCGCAAATCCCTCACACATGCAACATCTCCATTGTCTTCAAAAAACACCCCTAAGAGTTTAAAATGTGACGGAATAAACATCAAAATTTGGAGTTTTAGTGAAAAAGTTCACGTCCGACCTCTCTGATTGACTTGATCCACTGTGCGGACCCCCCCCCCCCCCCCCCCCC